TTCGACAATAAGCACAGGAGTTATGCTGAAAACTGAGTAAAGAAAATCGTTCCTCCCCTCACACACGGGAAAAAACACTGAACTCTTTTTCCATTCCTCGACGTTTCGAAGTGTTGTAGGTCCAAAAATGTGAAATCATTCGGGGACAGATCGCTGTACGTTCCCTGTGTTACGTATAACATGTGGTAAAGTAATATTCTACAGAAGAGAAGGAAAATAATTAGCAATTACTGTATTCGGTAATCAACGAATATTTAACGAATAAACGCACGTTTAACAGTTTTTGTATTGCTCGTTCTAATTTTAGGTTTGATTAGGAGGGAAGAGAGCACCTTCGTTTTTCCTTCCAGCCTAGGGGAAAAACTGAGTGTCTCTTCAATAGCTCGAAACTCGAGTTCACTTATATACCAATTGAAACAATGCATCAGGTGGTGTCATCGCGTTCTAGACGTTACCGAACTTTACAGCTAAGACTTTTTTCAAAACTTTGCTAAAAGTTCGACTGGACAGTCTACCCGCTAATGAAATTCTGAGAATCGACTTTTTCGATTATACATATTTGTGTAATAATTCATATTAATTAAACGCCAATAAATGATTTCGCACGTAATAATTTTCGCCCTCTATCGGCGTGTTTCGTTACTACCGCTAAAATGTCATTTTTAGGTCATTGAAATTAAAATTGAATCAATGAAATTGCCTTCATTTTTTAAATAATAATTTATATTTGTTAAATTATCTATAATAAATCGATTTTTTATTATTGCTTTATTTTTTTATATAATAAATATAAAACATAACTTTATTATTTCATTATCTATTTAAATAACATTCAAACTTCACAATTAAACATAAAAACACATTAATTTTTAACAAAATATACAATAAAAAACGTTTAAAAATTCATTAAAAATAACAAAAAATATTGGAAGATAATTTAATGAGATTTCTGCTGCTGAATATCCTCAACTAATTTGTTAAATAAGAAAAAACTAAATACGAAAACTTTCTCTTTCTTTTTTCACTTTTCAATACGATATTCGATTATACATCAATTTTCTTTTTATTATATTCTGAGGGAAATTTTGCATAATTTGGCGGTCCCTTGGCAAACTTCTAATGTACCCCCGTTAAGAAACACTGCTCTACCAGATAAAACTGTAAGCAGTGACGACACAGATTCATTTCATGAATTGAACTTTCACGGAGACCGAAACACAGTTGTGAACTTTCACGAATTTGTCTACATAGTACGAAAAAAGTGTTTCGTGAAATACAGTATAAACAAAATCAAAAATATTTTTCCGAAAGAACGTAATGCCACATACAAAAAAAAATTTTCGTACACCCGATTCAATCGATAAAAGTGATTTATTGCAGCAAATATCATAAATACATCAGATTAATAGTAAGATGTTATGGAAATTGTTTTTTTTTTCCACAGTAGAAATTCTATTATTATTATGCTAACTTTTCGAGTTAGAACATCAAGTATACTTATATAATGCACTTATTCAACGAATTTTAGACTGATGATTATTTAATTAATGACTGAAATACAATAAAAAACAGAAATATTTCAAACTAAGTAACTGCCAATTGAATACAATACATAAAAACAAAACAGTTTATTACATTTAGAACAAGTTAAACGTGTTATATAACAATTCTAAAATCGAGCGATGGAAATATTCTAACATTCTGCAAATCACTATAAACCAACAGCACAACTATAGTTATCTATATATATATAAATGAATGTATATGTGTCAGTCTGTCTGTATGTCATTCATGCATTACCACACCGTTTATCCGATTGCCATGAAACTTTGAAAAGTTGTATAATATACTCCCGCAAAGGTTTCTGGCATAGTACATTTATCCTACGATAGATGGCGCGAGTGTATACGAGCATTTCATCGTCAGTTCGATTCATTTCAAATTGTGACGACCATTTCCCCCTCCATAAACTATCTCTATATATGCATTTGTGAACTGTTATTTACGATATTTGTAATAATTTTTGTTTAATCACTTTATTTCAACTTTTTTTTTTTTGCTAATTATGTATTCGCTCGAACTTTGTTAAAACCTTAACTGTATCCCGAACAACAACCGAAGTTGTAGGAGGAAATGAACCTATTTTACCGATCTAATGATCCCCCTTTTCCAAATTTTAATATCGACTCAAAATAATTTTAAAAGACAAATTACAATAAAACGGTTTATTATCCAACTATCAGAAATTTCACAACGTGCCAAGTAAGAGAGGAAAAAGCAATTAAATAATTAAAAGTGTAAAAAATTAAAAAATATATATACATATGGAAAATATCGCTGCAAGTGTCTGGGCTAGATTTGGAGAATCCGTGCTTCTCACATGTACAACTGTATGTGGCCAGTTCACACGTAGGAAATCCTTCTGATTTATTCCTGTACAAAAAACAAAAAATATCGTGTATCCAAACAGCACTCCAATAAATAAATACAATTGAAACGACACTTTGAAGTATTTTCCCGAGGAAAATAGATAATAATAATAATTTTCAATAAAAATGATAAAATGTAAATTGAATTTTATCATAACGAGTTTGCTTGAATTTCGTTTCTTCTCAGATCGCAGCAATGCGCGACAGGTAAGCTAGTAATAAATAAAAACCACTGTTCCACTTGAACATAGACTTTCATTCCAGAAAAATCCCTTTTTTCCAATACTTATGGGAAATTATAAATGCTAATAACAGCATTGTAATACCAATAATAACAAAAGAAATAAAGAGCATCCAAAGTGATAAAATTCAATATGTACAGTACTTGATATTCTGATGTGACAGAAATTTGTACAAGAAATATCTCGACGATAAATGTAAAAAAAAAATTACTAAATAATCAAACACGATGTTTCCCTCTCTTAATAACGAGCAAGAAATCACGATATACAAAAATAAACAAGAAAACCTTTACAACCAATAAAATAAATGAAAAAAAAAAATGTCACTCAACATCTGATATTAGCAGTAAAAGAAGCGTAAAAAATTCGTTCACCCAGCTGGTGCCACGTGCTTACAAATTTACACTTTTACATTCTATACAAAGAGAATTTCTAGAAGGTTCAGCAGCTTTATTGTCTATGTCTATGGACCTATATGTCTTTTTTTCGATTGCTTTCGGCAGGTGATTAAATTGCATGATCAGATGATCTCACTGACAACTGCAATTTATCACCCGTTAAAATCATCTTCGATCCATGCTTTTATCCCGCCAATGTCTTTTCACTAAAGGGTGTTCTTACCTACCCGTACTAAACAACTTTCCTACTCGAAAAAACTTTCTGCAAATTTCCAAATATTCAATTTAACAAGTATCTTGCAAGCGAAATTCTCAAAAACTTTTCATAACTTGCATGCAATTAGTTTTTATAAAAGAATAATTGGATTAAATTAAGATATATGTATATAATAATAAACTCTTTCTGGAGGCATGTAACGTTACTAATATTTTGTTAATCTGTGATGCAATTAACACACTATAGTTTTTATAATAATCACGTTTCTTAAGAAACCTGTATTCTCTTTTATATTCATTTTATAAATATTTAAGTATTTCAGAAATTAGCAGATATTTACTACTTTACAACACGTATAGAAAACATAAGAACACACATGCAATAGGAATGCTGGGTAATGAAGAACAACCTCCCTCGAAGTACAGTGGCTAGAATATATAGTGTGTCGTTCGCTATTTTATCCCTACAATACATTAGGTTCTCGTTTTTACGCCTCACCAGTTGTGGTGTTACTTAGATCAGTTTACATAAAGCATTTTCAGTGGTTTTTCGTTTGTTTTTCACTTTGTTTAGAACGATTTTCGTCCCATTCTTGAAAAAAAAAATGTCTAAAGTTTATAAAAATAAGAAGAACAAGCAAAGGCATTGTTTTGTACCTGGTTGCAAAACTGGAAATAATGTAAAAAAGAAACGTACATTATTTTCGGCTCCAAAAGACGAAAAGCTTCGAAAAAAATGGAGTAAGTTAATTCCTCGCGGTGACAAAATTTTTTATGAATATTGTTGTGTTCGCAATCTTCATTTTGATGAGCAGTTTATTGAACGGAAGTTTAAACATATAATTAATGGTAAAGAAGTTACAATTCCTAGAGATCGTCCTAAACTTGTGTCAGATGCTATTCCAACTATCTTTCCAAATTTGCCAAAATATTTATCCTACGTACAAAGAAAACGANGGTTCTCGTTTTTACGCCTCACCAGAGGGCACTCGCATCGGTTGTGATGTTACTTAGATCAGTTTACATAAAGCATTTTCAGTGGTTTTTCGTTTGCTTTCGACTTTGTGTAGAACGATTTTCGTCCCATTTTTGAAAAAAAATGTCTGAAGTTTATAAAAATAAAAACTTACAAAGGCATTGTTTTGTATCTAGTTGCAAAACTGGATATAATGTAAAGGAGAAACGTACATTATTTTCGGCTCCAATAGACGAAGAGCTTCGAAAAAATAGAGTAAGTTAATTCCTCGCTGTGACAAAATTTTTGATGAATATTGTTGTGTTTGCCAGCTTCATTTTGATGAGAAGTTTATTAAACAGAAGTTAAACATATAATTAATAGTAAAGAAGTTACAATTCCTAGAGATCGTCCTAAACTTGTGTCAGATGCTATTCCAACTATCTTTCCAAATTTGCCAAAATATTTATCCTATGTACCAAAAAAACGACCACCTCCAAAAGAACGTAATATTAAACCAACAAAAAAACGTAAATAAAGTCATGAAGAGTCTATCAGATCAGTAGATGATGTTGAGTCTCACATAGTAGAAAAGCCATTCTTTGAACACTTTCATGAAGTGAATTTACCATCTATGTATTGGTCTAAAGTATTGTTTCAAAATTCTGCTAAGATTGTTATTTTTGCAACTTGGAATTTAAAAACTGAAAACAATATTTTAACTTCAAAGTTTCGATGTATGGACTTAAAAGCTTGCTTGATGGATCCAGGTAAATTTGTCATCGTCAAAGAAGATGCCGAGGGTTTAATTTCTTGTACTGTAATTGTTGGAAGAACTATTTTAAAACACTATAATCTTTTAGAATCAATTACTACTTTAGAGAACATATTACAGGAAACAGATAAAATGTATGAATGTCAGGTAATTAACCAAATCACTGAATTTAATGGACTGGTACATATGGTTCCAAAAAGCATTTTGACTAAAAATTCTTTCATTTTTAAAAGTCAAAAATGTTCAGGTGTTGCAAATCAATCCTTAATAAAACTGTTTATCGTGTAAATATGTAAGAAAAACTCTACTGGATAAAATATCAAAAACCAAGAAGAAGAAAAAAACAAATCAGTCAAATCAACAGAAAATAAATTCAAAGCCTCTACAAGAAGAATAAAAATTTTAATGAAAAAAACACCAAAATTTGAATCAAGAAATTAAAGAACAAAATAAACAAATATCATCATTTACTTGTTCACTTAGCAGTAAGCTTGAATATCTACCTTTAAAACAACAGTTAGCTATTATTAAGGAATGTCTAAGGTCTTCTGAACGAAAAAGTACTAAAGGAATGATGTATGATGAACAGTGGCTGCTAGAATGCATCACTATGAGAATGAAGAGTCCACGTTTATACAAACACATGCGCATAAATAAAATACTAGTTTTACCAAGCAAAACTTGTATTAAACATTATTTAAAAACTTTTAAGGCTGGTTTTGGATTTATTGAAAAAGTATTATTTGCTCTTAAAGAAAAAGCACAATATTTAAATTCATATAGTAAGCTTAGAAATCTCCTATTTGATGAGATCAAATTATCTGAAAGCTTACAAATTAAACAAAATGGCTATATTCAGGGATTTGTTAATTTTAAATCTTTTACAACAAAAGAAATGAAAGAACAGATGTGTGATCATTGTCTTATACTATTATTTCAGCCTTTTGTAGGAGATTGGGTTCAAATTGTAGAAGTATTTGGAACACGTAAAAATGTTAAAGGAAATATATTAGCAAAACTTTTAATAGAAGCTATTATTCAAATAGAAAAAGTAGGTTTATATGTTGATTCTGTTACAGGAGATGGAGCAACATGGAATAGATCTATGTGAAAAGAATTTCGTATTGGTGTTAATAATAATGTGATACAATACAGAATAATTCACCCCTATGATGAATTCAGATTTTTGCATTTTATTTCAGATTTTCCTCATCTTATAAAATGCTTAAGAAACTGTTTTCTTAAAATTAGCATATTCAATACTCCAGATGGTAAAATTAATTTAGACTTTCTTAAAATGGCTTGGAAGGAAGATCATAAGACTTGTATCATTAAGAGCCATGCCAAAAATATTTAAAGTTCATTTCTTTCCTGATAATTTTGAAAAGATGCGTGTGAGTTATGCCTTTCAGTTATTTAACACTGAAATATTAAAAGGTCTCTCTCTGTACAAAGATACCCTTGCACAATATGGTGATTCACAACCAACAGTTAACTTTATTGCACGCATTGGAAAATTAATTAGAATAATCACATCACGTGCATATAAAGATGCATTATATAATAATTCAAAAGTAGTTAAATTTTTCAAAGATCTTTTGGATTTTCTTAAAAAATAGAATTTTTCAAAGATCTTTTGAATTTTCTTTTTAAAATGGGAAGCTCTTTGTGAACCAAAAGGTTTTGGATGTATAAGCAAAAGTACATCAGGTGGATTAATAATCACAGTGAAAAGTACTTTGTCTATTTTAGAATATCTATCAAGAGAATTAGGATATAAATATTTGATGACAGCAAGATTAAGTCAAGATAAGTTGGAAAATCTCTTTAGTATCATTAGACAATCCAAGGGTTGTAATGACCATCCTAATCCTGATGAATTTTTAACTATTGTGGAATGTTTGAGTTTTTACAATTTAGCTAAAACACCAAGAAATGGCAATACTTTGCCCAATATTATTAGCTCTTTAAAATGTCCAAAACTGCAATTTATGAAGAATGATCAGTCCAGAGTTTTTAGAATTGATAATTTTCTTGAAACCAAAAAATTATTAAAGACTAATGAATATTTAAAATGTGAGAAACTAGAACATTCAGATATTATTCATCAACACAGTAATTTGCAATTCATTTATTATATTTCTGGATATGTGGTAAAAAAGGTTTTACCAAAAACATTCTGCATTAATTGTAAAAAGTGTCTTGATGCAAAATCTATTAATGCAATTAATATACATCCAGAATGTGTAAGATTTACAAAGGAGTTTGATAAAAGAGGATTGATATATCCTTCAATGCAGGGGCGCCGCTAGCTGTTTGAACGCCCGTGTGCAATACCTATTATGCCGCCCCCTGTTTAACTACGACTACCTATGCTGAGCTTGCCAGAAAGGCTCTTTGCCACCCCCTGGACGTACGGCCCCCGTGCGGTGCACGCCCGCTTAGGCAAGCCTGCTTCAATGCCACTATTTTATCTTATATGTGATATCAAAAATTCATTTACAGAGTGTTTTAGTTTCAACAAATTACATGAAGAGAGTATACTCGATAATTTATCTAATTTAAAAAATAAAAAGACAAGATATGTAGGTTGTGATATTCATAAACTTGCTTTAACTGAAGAAATTGTAAAATTTTATTTTATAACGAGAATGCGTTTTTATTTGAAACAAATACATAAATGTCAGGAAGAAAAAAACAATAATATTTAAAAATAAGACATAGAAAATAAATTCATTATAAAAATTTTAGTCAGAAATAAATATGTTTTCATGTTAATGTGTGTATCAAGTTTTTTAATCCATTACAATTATAATAATACTGAGTTAATATTCATTTATTAACATATTACTAATTATAAAGTTAACGTTTTATGAATTCGACAGTTAAAATATTGCTATAAAGATGAAACTCTGACATAATTTAAGTGCAAGATAATTTAGAACTTCTATAAAAATAACTTCAATTATATTAAATATAAAACTTATTTTAAATACATGAAAATGGTAATTTTAACATTTCAGAAACGTGTTATTTTACAAACCCAAATTTGTGAAGTATATAAAGTTAACATAAAATCACTGTCTTTGTACAAGTTATATATTTTAATGTAAAATTAAAACTCTGTTTTTTCTTCAATTTTTTAATTTCCTCATAAAAAAATTCTAACTTTTCTATAATTCTTCGAACGTAATTTAACTATAACCAATTTTACTTACTACGTATCAATTCTCATTTCTACTACTAAAGTAAATATTTGAATACAAGAAACTGACTTGTCAAAGTGATTAACTATAAAAGGGAATAAATAATTTGTGTGCTGACTCACAAATTAAATAATAATCATCTATTCTGATATTCTTATAACATAGGATGGCAACAAACCCTTCGCAGGCCAATGACTGTTTTCTGGCAGATTCACCTTAAAAAAATAAATATCCAACATTTTTTATCAAATTTCCAAAAATTAAGCATATGTGAAGTTTTGGTTATTTATAAACGTATCTGTTTTGAGTAGTGTTCAAATCGAAATATCTTATATGTAAATTATATTATTTTACTTACATTCATTGTTAGACTAAAAACATCATCTATGAACCGCCATTGATATAAAAACCTATTACAAATAAATTCCCATTCACAATTATTTTTATTTTAACATTATAAATACATAAATACCTATGGATACTTTCCATAAATATTTCTCCTGTTTAACAGTGTTAAGTAAATATTTAAAATGTATGTCATGTCATTTTAGAATCACAAAACACATTCCCTATCTCACGATGACACCACTGCTTTCAATCAAATATAACAACATACAGAATTTTGTTTCAATTAAGATGGCAGAACCAAGAAATTATTCCATCAGTCATAAGTTTGCAGAGAAAGTGCAAAAATATTATGTAATTTTGATCTGGTGACTCTACAGTTTCAATAAAAAGACTTCCGAAATGTTAACATAAAAACTTCAATGAAGAAATTTAAATGAATTTCTCAACAAACAGAAATACTTTTATAATGGATAGAATTCAATCGGAAATATACAACACCAGGTTAAAATAAACAATAAACAACGTACCAGGAACCTGTTGCCGGTGTGCTTCTCAATAAACAGAGCCTTACGAATGTTTTCGAACTTGACAGTTCTTCTTCAATTGCATTAACAGAAAAGACGAAATCACCCTATCAACTGCATGGCAGGTGCTCGTAAATAAGAACTTACGATAATTTACAACCGGCGGCAAAGGGACGCATGCGTGAATGACGACATGGATCCATGCGATAGAATTCTTAATGGTATTCTAATATGAATTGAATTTGAATTGCATTCGATTAACAGTCGTATGTTACCTGAAAAAGAACTGTCAACTTTCAAAATGTTCGTAACGCTCTGTTTACCGAGAAGCACACCGGCAACAGGTTCCTGGTACGTTGTTTATTGTTTAATAAATAGAATTACTCATCATTATAAAATTAACATGGCAATACAAAATATTTCCTTCAATTCTTTTTCAAACTGTTAAAAACTGATTTCATGAACACTATTTTCAATATATTCAAAATCTAATTCATGTAATTTAAATATGCATTTTAATGGAAAAATTAACATACTAATTTTATACAAATAGAAACACCTAACGGTAAAGTAGTAATATTGAAAACTTTAATAATTTTCTAAAAAAGATAAAAAAATCTATAATGTTTAGCAGAACAAAAACAGCTTATGTGACTGAATGTAAGAGACAAGTAAAAAATATAATATGTTAATATGTTTACTTATAAAATATAAGTAAACATATTAAAATCCAAAATGTGACGCTTCCTGTGGTTCCGACTTTTAAGTATCTAGAGGCCTTTGTCAAGATAGGGTAAGGTTTGAACTTGGAAGTGCAACATAGAATTCAATGTGGATGGCTGAACTGGAAGTTATTGAGCAGTGTGTTATGTGACAAGAATGTTAGCAGTAAACTGAAAAATAAATTACACGAATCAGTTGTTATACCTGCAATGTTGTATAAGGCTGAGACATGGGCAATCAAAAAAACCCAAGAAAAAAAAATGGAGGTGGCAAGGAGGCAAAGATAAGAATTTTGACATGGATGTGTGGAGTGTCAAGGAAAAATAGAATATGGAACAAGTTTATTAGAGGTTCTGTTCAGGTGGGTCTCTTGAGCAGGAAGATGCAAAAATGCAAGTTGAAGTGGTTTGGCCACGTAGTGGGTAGTAATGAACATTATGTTGGAAAGAAGGTCAATAAACTAATAGTGATAAAAAAAGAAAAAAGAGAAAGACCAATGCTGCATTAAAAAGATAAGGTCGATGAAGACTTGAATCAGAGGGGACTTAAAAATTAAGATGCCCTTGATAGGAACAAATGGAATAAACATATTAGAAAATAAAATCCCCACCCAATATAAACATGGAAAAAGATAAAGAAAAAAGAAAGAATAGAAAAATATTTTAATAAAAATACTTAATGTTTTCATGTAGTGATTTACGTCAGAGTCCAATATTCATAATTACATTCACAGTTTTCTAGTTTGAATTTTTATACTTATATCTAAATTCATTTTACTGATATCCATTCTCAGAAATAAAATACTGTATGGAATAGATACTCTATTAATTATGAACACTTATTTCCAATAAATTCTCATTATAAATTATTTAAATGTTTATTATTATAATATAAATACCTATAACTGCTTTCCATTCACATTTATATTTTTTAATGTTACGTAAACAATTACTGAGATGCATTTTACCTGAAATAAAAAACTGATTTCAAATTCTATATAACTTATAACTTCTAAATATATNATCAATTCTTAAGATTTTTGTATTCTTATACACAAGTATCTAGATACTCTAATAGACATGAACAATTATTTCCAATAAATTCTCATTATAAATTATTTAAATGTTTATTATTATAATATAAATACCTATAACTGCTTTCCATTCACATTTATATTTTTTAATGTTACGTAAACAATTACTGAGATGCATTTTACCTGAAATAAAAAACTGATTTCAAATTCTATATAACTTATAACTTCTAAATATATTTAATACTTCTCTTTTTACCATTACATTCAACAAACATAGCTGATAAATATTCAAAACATAACCAAAACCTACTTAGGTGAAACACAAACTAAAAATGATTTCAGCACATATATATTACAAATATTTTTGATCCTTTAATAGTCATTCTGAAATAAAAATTAATTAAAAAATAAGAATACATTTTAAAAGAAAGAAAACCAAAAACTCATTAAATTTAGAACATAGAAGAAAACATTAAGTCAGTAAAACTAATTGTATTTCCTTATTCAGGTTCAAAAATAAGGCAATGCTTTTCTCTGCATTGCTCTTAATGTACAGTACTTATCAGAAAATTTCAGTTTATCCGACATGACTGTATTAAAACGATTCAAATTATTGTCTTTCTTCTATTTCATATGTTGTATCCTGTATCCTATATATAAATAAGTTTATTTTATTTTTCTTACATTTTCCGATTTTTTTCATTCACTTTATCTATAACATTACACATTTATGCAAGTAAGTGTAAAGTAGAAATTTTGGTGATTGTTGACAATATATTCCCTGTCTAATTTCTGATATTTTAAAATATAACACTAAGAAAGTCGATTTTGGAGGTCGTCAATAAATTGCTGATCAAATAATTGGTAATGAAAAACAAAATTTTAGTTTAGATAAACTTTTAATACACGTAAAGTTTTTAATAGTTGATATTTAAAAAAATTTTATATCAAACTTATGTATGTATTGAATAATAAAATTATCTAAAAGAATTTGAANCATCCTTTGAAAAATTTATAGAAAAAACTTACTACATAACTTTATGAAAATTATATTTGTAAATTTCACATATTAATCAATAAAATTTGTTTCTGTTAGTAGATAAAACTCACACATTACTAACCTTATGGGTAACCAACAGTACCTGCCAGATAAGGCATGAAATAGAAAAGTGAATTAGAATTAAAATTGGAATTTAACATCATTTTTTAAAAACATTTGTAGCCTCGACTTTGAAAAATATATCGACACTGCTAACACTGACTACTTAAATGAAGTACAAAATTACTTTGTACTCATATATCACAATTAAGGCAGTAAATATAATAAAACTCAATTAAAAAATTCATAGGAGTTTCATAATCCTGCATCTACAGGTGTGTAGGTATGCTTCCTGTAATTCAATAATCCAAAACTATAATTTAATTACGTTTGTTTCGGTTTGGTTGATTACATAAATGCATTTTGGGCCAACTTACATTTTACATCCCCCACATTAGTAACTAAAATTATTAATAGTTAGGTGTAATTAAATAACAATAAATTAAATAAACATACAGATAATGAAACTGAGCATACCAGTAATTCTTCCTTTTTATTGAATCAACCTTCTCCTTAATTCTAAAAGCAAACAAACAATGATATAAAACATATTTCATACTGATACATACCAAAATATGTTCCATAAAACTTTTTTCACAATCTGAATCTGTGTTATTGACTTCAGACCCAATGCCAACAATTCACAGTTTGTTTACTCTGCATTTTCAAACAAATGAACAACAAAGCTTAGAAGAATTCCTGAAAATATATAAAAAAGTTTAATATATCAAATGATGCAATTTTACTAATCTACATACTAATGCTTTCATCCTCAAAATTTCATTAATTATATCAAAATCTTGAATTTAATGCTAATTTGAAAATTAATAATAAACAAGATCTTCATATAGAAATTTCAAGAAAACAGAAACATTAAACTTAGTGAATTGGTCTTTCATATCATTTTATACATTATTGGTTGCTACTCTTATAGAATTCTAATTATCTGGAACAATAGAAACCGAGAGCTCTAAACAGACATTTTCCATGAGAAATATAAAACATTTTAATCATTCTATACAGTGTGAAACATCAATTCTTAAGATTTTTGTATTCTTATACACAAGTATCAAAATATAGAATTTTGCATGTAATGTTTTGTATTTTTCTCAAAAATAATCTTTCAATCAGATAAATTGTTAAAATTCATGTCATGAAAGACGATAATCTGTGGTCTCAAATCCATAAAGTTTTTTGTTTTTTGTACCAGACCATGCAGAATCCCTAAAAGTGTTTTTCTATTTACTAACGTTAGTTGTAAATTATAATTTTAATATAATTCTGAATGTGAAATTACNCTCTTATAGAATTCTAATTATCTGGAACAATAGAAACCGAGAGCTCTAAACAGACATTTTCCATGAGAAATATAAAACATTTTAATCATTCTATACAGTGTGAAACATCAATTCTTAAGATTTTTGTATTCTTATACACAAGTATCAAAATATAGAATTTTGCATGTAATGTTTTGTATTTTTCTCAAAAATAATCTTTCAATCAGATAAATTGTTAAAATTCATGTCATGAAAGACGATAATCTGTGGTCTCAAATCCATAAAGTTTTTTGTTTTTTGTACCAGACCATGCAGAATCCCTAAAAGTGTTTTTCTATTTACTAACGTTAGTTGTAAATTATAATTTTAATATAATTCTGAATGTGAAATTACAAGTTAGAGAATTAAAATTACACTTTGAATTAAAATATCATGTGCATAGCCTATATGAATTTATATTTTCTTATTTGATTATTTTTGTAACTGTATTATTAATATATTTGTAAATTGCTGATAGTTGCTTTATTTATTTATATTATACTTTTGTCAGCTTCGAATGCTCTTGTGAACTATAACTTCTTACACTCAGGGAAGAGAAATACACTTTGATATTATAACATATTTAATGAAATGTAATCCTGTTACATTCAATAATTTAAAATTCTGTGTTTCTGTTCCCTCAGTGTAACAAATCATAGTTCACATAAACATCCAATGTCAACAAAAGTATAATATAAATACTTCTGAAATGTTTTTTGTAAGTAAGTAATAACGACAGTTTAGACTGTAATGGATTAATAATTTTACATAGAAAATTAAGTTTTTTAATACTGTACAGTACATTCACTAAGTTAGTCTTTTTCCTCATGTTGCTTACAGTACCATTTTAAATAATAATATATTTCTGCTGAGACTCGGCACAGATATTTTATAGCATGTCATTTTGCTGTTAACTGAGTGTGATCTGATCCATACCGACACCATTGCTTTAATCAAATTGAAATGTATCATTTAGAAAAACAAATAATTTCTTGAACGACGATACCAAAGATGCAGAAATGAGCCAAACCGTACTACACTAAAACAACAATTTTAAGCACATCAGGTCCAATATAAAAAAGAAATAAAGAATGCAAAAATAAAGTCTTGGCGAGAATACTGCACTGCAGCATCAGCAAATCCATGGGGATACCTGACAAAACTCTGTACAAACAAATTGCGAAAACAACAGGTACTGATAAATGAAGATCCTCAAATAATAAATCAATCTTCGCCTGATATCAATCTCCTGGATATACTGAAACAACGAATGAATAAATACTGTATTTCTGACAATGCTGCAAATGATATCCTTGGCAGAAGCATTTAAGAGAAATTGTAAGCACACAAATGAATACAGGTAATTATCCTGGATTTACATATCAGGAAATAAATAATGCAATATACCAGCTACGAGATGGTAAATCTCCTGGTATCGATGGAATAACAGCAAAAATAACAAAAAATATTTGGGAAATGATACCACAAAAACTCGTGCAATTATACAATATATGTCTGCGTCATGCCATTTTTCCTACTAGATGAAAAATTGTCAAGATTGTTCCTGTTCCTAAACCTAATAAACCAAATGAAACAAGACCGATTTCTTTACTATCAACACTCGGCAAGGTGCTTGAACGACTGCTTACTGACAGATTAACATGGCATGTCGAGAAAAATAACCTATTAAACAACAGACAATTCGGATTCAGACAACAAATGTCCACCAGTGATGCAATAAATTATGCTGTTCATGAAATCAAATATTTACTTTAAGAACACAAATATGTCTTGGCAATTAGCCTTGACATATCAAAAGCATTTGATAGTGCCTGGTGGCCGTTTGTATTACAACAAATAATAAACAGGAATTGTTCAGCCGATATTTATAATTTATTTGTTAATTATTTAAATACACGCACAGCCATTTTAGAATAGGGTACTTATAAAGTGGAGAGTGAGGTTGTATGCGGATGTCCGCAGGGATCAGTATGTGGTCCACTATTGTGGAATTTAACCTTCAATGCCTTCTTAGAAGATAACTTTGGACAAGATGCGACTGTGGCATATGCTGATGATGTACTAATTATGATTGGTGGTAGAGCTAGAGCAGTATTAGAAAAACGAGGCAATGGCATACTTGATAAGATCTATCATTGGGGAATCAAGCATAAATTAAAGTTTAACCCAACTAAAACTACAGGTATTGTATTTAATAGGCCAAGAAAACCTAATTTATATTTACGTACACCCACCATAAAAATGAACAATCACTCCATTAAAATAGAGAAATGCATTAAATACCTTGGAGTATGGCTAGACTTCAGGTTAGGATGGGATGAGCACATTAAGTTTGTAGCTAAAAGAACATCTTTAATATTTCAAGCTTTTTCGAAAATAGCACGCAAGAACTGGGGACTATCCTCTGAAGCCTTAGGAATCATTTATGATCAGATATATATCCCCATTATTACCTATGGGTGTGGTAGCTGGGGTAACTCTGTTCAAAAAGTACACTTAAAAAGAAAACTAATATCCTCTCAGAGGAAAGCACTACTATTGATAACTAAAGCTTATCGGACAACCCCAAACTGTAGCCTCCA